GCCACGGAAACCACGCAGGCCTCCTGCACGGGTTCACGGGGTGCAGCGTAGCTTGAGAAAGATGCGGAAGACCCAGCCAGCCAGCCCGCCAGCCAGCCAGGAGACCACAAGGGCCTCGTTTCAAAGGAAGCAGAAAAGCCATTTATTTCCTCAGAAAAGCAGCTGGAAGAAGATTGCCCAATGGTGTGGAAAGAGCCCTAGGTATAAATCACCAAGCAAAGCCCAGGCTTGAGGCCTCCTGGCACCCCCCCCCCCCCCGATAAGGCCAGGGGGGGGGGAGAGGACTCTCGCCTTCCTGGGTCTCCTCGACTTTTCTCTCCCCAAGGAGGAAGCGAAACCCGCCGTCCAAAGGAGCCTCTGTTCTTCATTTGCATGCAGCAACCCCCAAAAAGGGGGGGAGAGCTTGGATCTGGCCTCCTTGATGTCCCCCAGGTAGCCAATTTACGAAGATCAGGACAGGAAGAGGGAGCAGCAGAGGGAAAATCCCTGCCCCAGAACCTTCAAGGGGGTGGGATGTGCATGCCTGCATTTTAAAAGAAGAACACCCCCACCCCCACCCCCAGCCCCAGTTGGGGACTCCAAGCTGAAGTTTCTTTTTTCCTCTCAGGGGCTCTCTGGGAAGCTGGCTTCCCGATCCTGTTTTTGCCCGATTGCCCCATTTTCCCTCTTCCCTCTTCCCTTCCCCCTTCCCTTTCCTTCTTCCGCCTTCCCTTCCGCAGTCTCTCTCTTTCAGTTTCCCTCTCTCGGCTGGTCTCTTCGGCAGCTCAGACCCGGAGAACTGCGGCCTTCCCCTCTTCCCTCGCTCTTCGCTCATCTCTGCCTACGATTTAAATGAAACCGCGTCCCAGTTTAATTTAATCTCTCTCGCTCGGCGGCCCGAGGCCAGTCCGCTTCCCCTTGAAATGCAGCCTCGTCCCGTCAGAGCCTCCCACGCGGCCCCCGGTGGTGCTGGAGGGAAGCTCAGCTGACCCTCTTCCTCCTCCTCCTCCTCCTCCTCCTCCTCCTCCGAGCCCCCGGAGCCGGTCCTGCCGAGCCCTCTCTGGAAGCCCCCCTCGCTCCCTCCTTCCGCCCCGGCTTCCAGGCCAAGGCGATTCCGCTGCTGCAGCAGAGGCGGCGGTTCCTGCAGGGGCAACGGGGGCGGTGAGAGGCCGCTTTCCCTTGAACCCAAGGGGAGTGAAGGGAGACGGTCCGGAAGGGACTGCGGCGCCTCCGCACCCGCCTGCTCACCGCCGGGAGAACAGCCGGGCAGCCCCGCAGAGGGACCGAGGAGGTCTTGTGCTGAGGGCGGCAGCCGACTAGGGGTTAAAATACAACGTGTTCATCTGTCACATTTGTCAAATAGATAATCCATGACCACACCCACCTGACTCTCAAAGTGACTGTTCCCCAAATAGAGAGCAAAAAGATTGGGAGGGAAGGAAGGAAGGAAGGAAGGAAGGAAGGAAGGAAGGAAGGAAGGAAGGAAGGAAGGAAGGAAGGGAGCCTTGAGAATCTCAGATAGTCTCAGAGCTGCAGATGTTCTCAACACATATTAAATCTCTTCAGGGAGAATTAAAACGTCAGAGCAGCAATTTAATGTCCACATCAGGGAAACTGGTTGGATGCACCATCATAAAGAACAAGTGAAATTGTGACACCCCTGAACATAAAAATGCACAAAGGTCTGTGCAAAGGCCAGACTGAAACCTGGGAACCAAGTGAGGCCAGGTCTGGCAGCCACACTGCACAGGCCACAGGGCCCGGGGCCTCGTTTCTGAGAGGGCTGGTGATTCTAGCAGGCATTCAGAGGGCTGCAATGCCGTTTTTCTCTACCTACTGATACCTCTCCAGGCTGCCTAACATGTGGAGAGGAGGGGCTTGGTGGTTTCCAGCTGAAGTATATGGTCTTCTAAGTGTCTGTGGAGATTCTCAGCCATCCAGGTCATTTTTTTCCAGGTGCTTTTTCACGAGGCAACTGGACTTTCTTAGAGTTTTTCCTTTGAAGACTTTTCGCTTCTCATCCCAGAAGCTTCTTCAGCTCTGACTGGATGGTGGGAAATGGAAGGATTTATACTCCTTGCAGACAGCTGGTCATTTGCCTCCAGGGCCTTCAACAACTCACTAAAAGAATGCAAAAGACCAGCTGACTGCCAGGAGTATATATCCAACCATCTTGGATGAGAAGGAAAACGGTCTTCAAAGAAAAACCAAGAAAATCCACTTGCCTTGTGAAAAAAAGCACCTTTGGGATTCTCTTTTGAGGCATAAAATCTTGGCAAATAAGGATTGTAGGAAAAGGAGTGGCAGAACCTGGGTTGGAGTTAAAAGAGGGATCAGCCTTGAATCCCTATGTAGTCACAAGTTAAGTCCAACCCCCCCCCCCTTGCACCTTGAATTCCGTGGACCCTTATCTAACTCCTAGCTGGTGCTAACCATTAGCTGACAAGATTCCTGTGCAAAAGCTTTTTAGCAATAAATCAGTTTAATTGGCTCTTAATGTGGACCTGGTCTTTTCTCCCTGACATTAATCAATGAAACAAACTACAGTGGAAATAACTGAGCTTGGATTAAACAGCAGAGTGTCTGTGGGTGGGCACATCAAAAAAAATGTCAAGATGGCAGCCAGGGCCACAGGATTCAAGCTCAGCCCTAAAGTGAATAAAATGAAATTGCCACCTTGACTTTTCTCATGGACAAACTGGGTGGGTCCCTTGGTGCTTCTATCTCCTGGGACCTGGGTAGCGCCAGGGCGGGTGTGTGTGTGTGTGTCTAGTCAAGGGCCTTGTGTGTGTGTGTCCACAGCAGGATTATTCAGAGGTCTCCAACAACCGTCCTCCAGAGGGAGGTGCAGGCAGGAACCGACCAGACCGGGTCCCAGGCTGGGTGCCGGGTGGGCGATGCCTCGCCCGAAGGGTTGAGCAGGGAGGGGCTGGGCTCGTGCAGAAACGCTTTGGAAGCGCGGTGGCTCCCTCGGAGCCGGCTTGACAACAGCGGGAGAGGCCTGAGCGCCGGCGGCATGAACAGAAGCGCCCTTCCCAAATCGCTCCGCGTTATCCTGCTTCCTTCCGACCCCAACCTGAGCGCCAAGGCCGAGTCTCGGCTCTGCCCTTGAAGGAGGACCCGGAGAGCGCGGGTAACAACGAGGAGGACCCGGGACTGAAAGAGGGTCTCCGAAGAGGGCGAGGACCAGGTGACTGATCGGTGGTCGAGCTCTTCGGAGCCGGCAGAGAATCTCCCGCAGGAGGAGGTCGCGGCTCTCTCTCTTGCTCCGGACTGCAAGGATTTAAGCTCCAAATCTGGCCTTCTGGACGGAGCGGCCGGTATATCTATACAGTATATCTATATACCAAAGTTGTAGCGTTTCAAAAAGCAGAAAAGTTGGATTTTGAACATTTCAGCGGCAGATCTGCACCCGCTGCTTCCAGAAAGGCCGAGGACCGGCAGCTCCACTTCTCGGTTGACGCAGCAGGAGGCCCGGCCTCTCTTCAAGCTCAGCGCCGGTGGCGGGCCCGGATCCGCCACCGGAAAGACTCTCGGGAGGCGCTTCCACGGCGCAGCCGAAGGAACAACTAGTGGCGGCGTCGACCGCAAAGTCGGCCCTCCACCGCGACCTGTCTGTCCGGCGGCCGCTCCTGCTTTCCGGCTCTCGACGTCGCTCCCGGGAAGCCTCCGCAGCCGTGGACGGGCCGGCGGGGAGAGAAAGGGAGGGGCAGCGCCTCCCCACGGCGGAGGCTCCCCGGCGAATCCCGGCACCGGTCTCCCACGCCGGCCGTGGGTCAAGCAGGCGACGCTTCCCCGGGCGCTACAACGGCACCCATCCGCCCCGCCGAGCCTTCGCCCCCTGCCCCCGGAGGAATCGCGGCGGCGGCGCCCCCGGAGAAGCCGAGCCCGAGGCTGCGGCCGACTCTTCCTTCTCCAGGCGGGGCCAGAGTCGCCCGTCGCCCTCCTCTCCGCCAGTCGCGCGCTCGAAGGGCTGCACGCCTCGGCCGAGCCGGAGCGCCGCAGAGGCCGGTTGGGCGCGAGAGAAGGAGGCGGAAAGAGCCGGCAGCCCTGCGCTGGCCTTCCCGGGTCTTCCCATCCCGGCTTTTCTCCCCTCCCCGCTTACAGCCTTTCCCCCGCAGGGGCCAAAGCGGCTCTACCTGGGCCAGGTGGGCCGCTCGGCAGCCAGAAGCCCCGCCGGTCGCCGGGCGACAATAGCCGGGAGACCGTTCCTTTTAGGCCCACTGAGGGGTTCGTTCCCTCGACACCTCGCTCAAAATGGAAGCCCCGTCCGTTGCCTTTAGCGGAGGCTCCCCTGGAAGTGAAACATTCACCTGGGAGGAGGGGGCCTTTTTGAATTTGCTTCCAAGTAAACTGGCACCCGAAACGATGAATTTTTGCTTAATTGGGGGTACAGTATACATTCTGCAAGGCAGAGCGGGGCTTCGTGCACCTCTAATTCGCAAAGGGCCGCCTGGTTTTGATCAACGCCGCCAGATCCGAGGGAAAGCGGAGGAAGGGAGAAGGACGCTGCGGAAGCCGCTTTCCGACGGAGCTGCGAATCCTTCCCCCCCCCCCCCGCACAGAAAGGCTCGGAGGCGTCCCGCAGAGGAAATTCGGCGCGTGTGGATCCGCTCGCGCGTGAACGAAAGGTCCCTCTCGGCGGGGGTGACGCAGCCCCGGGCCGGGCGGCTGAAGCGGCCGGGGGAAGCGGGCCGGGTCTTCGCCCAGAGCGCAAGGCAGGCCGGCAGCCGAGCCGCCGCGGAGCAGAGAGGGACGCGCCGATCTCGCGGGCCGGCGGGGAGGAAGGCGGCGCCCAACCCAACCCGCTCACCCCGCGGTCGTTTAAAATTAATTTATTTATCAAATATAGCTATTAATATAAACGATAATAACTTTTTCGACTGTACAGTATGGTACACGGGGCGCCGCGCTCCTCCCTCGCGGGGAGGCCGCCGAGAGCCGCGGCGCCTCCGACGGGCAGTCCGTCCAGGGCGGCCCCGCCGGGGCAGCGGAGGGTCCGGGCCGCTCCCGCGCTCGGCCTAGGCCAGGTGGTACATGCTGTAGCCGACGTGCGCCGCCGCGTAGAGCCCGACGGGCGTCACGGGCATGGCGGCGCGCTGGAAGGGGCCTCCGGAGGCGTAGAGGGAGGCGCCGGCCACGGCCGGGCTGCCCAGCGGGAAGGAGAGGCCGAAGGCGGCGGGCGGCAGGAGCGGCTTGGCGGCCATCTTCAGCTTCTCCAGCTCGGCCTCCTGCAGCCGCTTGGCCTTGGCGCGCCGGTTCTGGAACCAGATCTTCACCTGCGTCTCGGTGAGGCTGAGCGAGCTGGAGAACTCGGCGCGCTCGGCGATGGAGAGGTACTGCTTCTGGCGGAACTTGCGCTCCAGCGCCAGGAGTTGCGCCGTGGTGAAGGGCGTGCGGGGCTTGCGGTTGGTCTTGTGCTTGCGGAGCGTGCAGGCCGGCGGGCTGGAGCGCCCTGCGAGGGAGGGAGGGAGGGAGGGAGAAAAGGGGAGAGAAAGAGCGGTCCTTTAGAAGGGAGTCTGTCCCGTCCCGTCCCGTCCCAAGGCCCATTGCCTCCTCCGCTCCCCCCTCCCGCGCCCCAGCCCGTCTCTACCGCTCGGACCAGCGGACAGCCCTCCCCTCCCCCGCCCGCCAGGCTCGGGTCCGTTTTGGTTCATCTGCAAAGTGCGCCTGGGTCGGAAAGGCTCCGAGGGCCGCCGAATGTCCCGGGACCTCCGCTTGCAGCTTCCATCCCTCCTTCTGCAGCCTTTGGCCTGGCTCAGGATCCAAGTGAAATTGCCCAGAGATGGGAGGCCAGAGTCTTCTATCCCGGGATGGAGGCCGGGAGCTTCTGGGCCAGTAGGTGAGGGTCTGAGGTCTGGGGCGTTCGTTAAAAGGAGGGAGGGCTCCTTTTTCCCCTCCGGAAATTCCCAGAGAGAAAAAGATAGAGGAAGGGGCCTGCTTCAGCTCTCTCCCCCCCCCAGCAGTAGGAGGGCTTTTTGCCTCATTCCTAGATGAAGAAAGTCACAGGACCCCCCCACCCCCCCAGGCCCCAGACTCTTGGAAAGGAAGTCCAGGCTAAACAGGGCAGGGTTTGCTTTCCTCTCCGCCATCGGTCAGAGAAGGGGGGGGGGGTACCCCAAGAGTGTTGGGGCTGAAAGTGCCCGGCCTCAGCATCTAAAGCCCTGGTGCTCTCGTGTGGGGAGGAAGGTGGGAGGTGGGAGGAGACCTGGAAAGAGAGCCCCTCTCCCGCCTTCCCCACATCTCCTGGGGGGGGGAAGGAAATGCAGCTTGCCCCCCCCCATTGCAGAGATGAAGGGCTGGTGGTGCCCCTCCCTCCCTCCTGCTCAAACACTTTGGGGGGGGTGCCCAGGAGGGGGTCTTGGAGATTTCCCCTCCAGAAACTGTGCCTTGAAGGCAGATGGGATCTTTCTTAACCATCTTCCTTCTGATTCCAAGGAATGCTGTGAATAAGGGACAAATGAATCAGATTCATTCTGGATCTTCCCACTGAGCCAGGGAGAGGCCCACTCCGCTGACATGGAGAGGGAGAAGAGGGCTGGCATGCCCTTGTGCCCTTTGCACACTCCCTGTGAAAGTGAGCCATCTGAGCCTAAGGGAGCAGAAAAGCATTTTTTTCAAAAAAAGCCCCAACGATGTTTTTCATAAAACCTTGGCTGGAAAGGGGGCTGTCAAGCTCCTTCTGGGTAAGGCAGCCCTGTCCTTCCAGGAGGAGCCGATTCTGCTTAATGCCCCCTATTCTGTTTTGTTTTGACGCCCCCCCTCCCTATTTTGGGCCACAAGGATAATACTGATAATACTCTTGTTTCTATTCTACTGCTTGTGTTTTCCAACTGCTTGTTCTCCACTGATGTATGCCAGGCTTCCTTCCCCGCCCTTTCATTCTATCCAGAGCAGGGCAGAAACTCACACCTGACTCAGGAGCAGAAAACACCTGGAAGGCTGCATGGAATGGTTCCCAGGACCCTTCAGGGCAGATCATTTGGACACCGCAGTTTTCACGCTAACTCCAAGGCACCGGCTGGCTGGGGATTCAGGGTGTGTAGACGCAACACAGGCAGGGGTTCACACACACCATATCAGCAGCCAGACCCAGGAGGAGGCAAGAGGTGGTGGCTGGGCTTCCCCCGGCAGCACCCCTGACTGGGGGTCTCAAGGACCCACTTTCCCTGGGGAAAAGCAGCTCCAGCTCACGGCGGGGGGGGGGGCTAGAAGCGCTGCTGGGCTGGCATCCAAATGGGAAGGGGCTGGGCCGATTCCCGTGGGGCTGCACAGCTCTGAGGCAGGGGGGGGCATTCTCTCCAGCAGAACCTATCACGGGCCGGCCGCAATCTGGGAAGAGTCTTCGGGGTGGGTCTGGGGGGTCAAAGCAAGCACCTTGCCGAAGGGCGCTTGGGAGGAATTCCGGGCTGGGAAGAGGCAGGCAGGCAGGCGGCAAAGGTCGAGCCAAGCTTCGGGAAGCCGGAGGGTCCTCGAAGCCCGAGAGGAGGTCGGGCCTTGGGTCAGTCACCGGTTCTGGGGAGCGAGGCCTGGGAGGGCCGGCCTTGCAGCCGATGGCCAGGACCCCGGGCCTTCCCGCAGGGGAGCTCCCAGGGCAGCCCGCTTGGGCGGCTCTTCCTCGGCAGGCGAAACGACGAGCCGAGGCACCTGGAACCCGACTGGGAACCGCGCCGGGAAAGGTCCGCGCCGAGTCTCCCCGGGCGCGCGGAGAGCACCCTTCAGCCGAGCTGGAAGAGCGGGGAGCCCGCTAAAGGAGTCCCCTCCGTAGCCGCGGCGTCCGGGGGCTTCTGCCCAGCGGCTTCGGCCTTCGGCCTCTTCCCGGCGGCGGCGGCGGCGGCGGCGGGGCGAGGGGCGGGCAGGGGCGGCGGCGGCGGCGGCGGGGCCACTTACTTGGCGGCGACGGGGAGAAGCGGCGGGCGGGCCTCCAGGGCGGGCTTTCGGCCTTGACCGGCGCTTCCTCGGGAACTTTCACGAAGGCTCCGGCGCCGAACGGGCCGGGCAGGGCCGGCGGCGAGGCGGAAGCCCTCCTCGGCCGGGGACTGGGGGCTGCCGGCGGGCGAGCCGCGTGCCCTCCCTCGCGGGTCCCGCTCCCAGGCTTGCGGGGCTCGGCCATGAGCGCCTCCACGCTGAAGGGCAGCAGAGCCGGGCGGGGCTTCTCGCCCTCCTCTTCCTCCTCCTCCTCCTCCTCCTCCTCGGCCCGCATGGCGCCCGCGGGGGCCGCCTTGCTGCGGGGCTGGGCCGGCGGCTCCTCGGCTCGGGCTGCGCACTGCACCGAAGTCATGGCGGGCCCGGGGGCCATGCAGCAGCGGCGGCGGCGGCGGCGGCGCGGGGGGCGCNGCCAGGGCGACGGCGGGGCCGGGACCGCGCGCGGCTGCACTCCGGGACACTTTCCGCGGCGCGGCTAATAAAGCGAGGCGCCTGTCCCGCCGGCCAATCCGCGCGCCGAGGGGTGGGCTTCTGCCTTCCCATTGGACGCGGCGCGCGGCGAGGGTCCCGGGCGGGGCGGGCGGGCGGCGGGCCTTCGGCCGGGAAGAGGCGCCGGGGCCGAGAGGTCGGCTGGGGCGGGCGCGGCGCTTCGGAGGAGCCCTTGCGGGACGTTCCCCGCCTGCCGCTGCCCCGAAGGGTGGTTGCCGCCTCGCCGGACGGGACCTGCCGCCCCCGGTGGCTGTTGCTGCCCCGGAGGGAAGCGGCGGCGGCGGCGGCCGCTTCGCTTGGATTCCAGCGGAGGTGAATGGGGAGGAGCTGCGCGCATCGTCGCCCCGAATAAAGTCCCGATCCTTCCAAGCGTTTCCCGAGCAAAGGCCCCGCGGCGGGGTCCCGGGGTCCGGGGTCCCCTCCCAGGCAAGTCCGCTCGCTGAGTTGCCAAATGCCGCCGGTCCGCCCTGAGCGGTGGAGTCCGTCGGCGGCCCGGGACGCCACCCCGGCTTGCGGCAGCAGCGGAACGCCTCCGGGGCCAGCCCTCCTCCCCGCCCAGCGACCCTCCTTTGGGCCGGGCAACCCCGGCCCTCTCCCAAGGCGCCCTGCCGGGAAGCCGGTTCAAAAGCGCCTACATCTCGAGGGAGCCGGCGGGACCACGGAACTACTGGAGCCGAGCTTGTTCGGCCCCTTACCCCGGCGGGCGGGCCCGCCGTCTTGCAGGCGGCTGCTCGGGGAAGGGAACTGGTCCTCGCGGGGCCCCACCCCACCCCACCCGCTCTCCCCGGCGCCTCCAGGCGGGGTCCCCGGAAGGCCCCCAGCCGAAGCCTTCTAGCTGCCTGGCCGCCTGAGTCCGGCTCTGCCCCTCCAGCCCTCGAGTATGTGAGGACCTCCCCCCCGTCCTTCTCGGGAAGGGAGGAGAGGCGAGGCTTATCCGCGCTCCCTTTCGGAAACCGAAGGTCTGGCCGTGAACTTTGTCCCAAGATTTGTTGAGGCATTTCTGGCACCTTGGCCAGCAACCACCTCCAGCGTCCTCGGGAGTTTAGTAGCCGTCGGGGGGCGACCGCATCTGCATTACGTCGGGCAGAGAAAGCGCGATCCGTGCAGCCATTTTGCTGTTCTTTGATGTCGAGGGTCCAAAAAGGGATTTTGAAAACAGGTTTTGGCGGCAGACTCCCCTGGAAAAGGGGGCGAGGAGGGGCGGGGCCGCGCCAGGGCCAGAAGGTGCGCCTTGAGAAACACCCGCCCCCGCCGGCCTGCCCTCCCCGCCCCTCCCCGCCGGCCCGGGCAAGCGCCTGCTCGAGCCGCCGTCCGGCCTCCGAGAGCGCAGCGCGAGAGGACTCGGCCGCCGTGTCCCCCGTGGCCGCTCGCTGGGCCGCCTTTCCTCCGAGGAGCAACGCCGGCGAACGCCGCCAGTCCTTTCCGGGGAGCGGCCCAAGGCAAGGCCGACCTGGGCTGGCTGCGAGGGACGGCGCTCCCCGCCCGTTTCCCACGGAGGAATTTGGAATGCCGCCCTGGGTTCGACCCCGGCGCTCGGTCGCCCTCCCGGGCGGTGCGGACCCAACTTGGCCGCCCGCGAGATCTCCGCCTCTCCTCGGAGGATCAGGCCCGCTGCCCCTCTGCGGAGGGGGGCTCTTTGCGCGAGGTGGGGCCGGGACGCCTACGCAGCCCTCCCAGCCTCCGGATCCGCCAGCATCGCAACTAGCCAAAGACTTCGAAGGAGAGTCAGAAGACAACCCGCGCCCCCCCCCGCCGTGTTTCCAACGACCAGGTCTTCGCCCCCAGATCGGTGAAGGGGTGTGTGTGTGACTCTGCACATTTGGCCTTGCTACAGTAGCCCCGTGTGGGCTTGCAGCAGCCCGCGCCTCGACGACCTCCCGGCAAAGGGGCGCCTCTGGGGACTCTGGAACTCTCCGCTGCCGAATGAAGCGCCTGGACTTTTCAGATGACAGAATCGGCGTCGTTCCGAATCCAGGAGCCTCTACCTCGAAGGCTCCAGGTCACCAAGCGCTCCTCGGGCTCTCCGGGACGGGAGAGGGACGGTCGCTGGTGGGTCAGAGGCTAACGACCCTTCTCCCCCCCCCCAGGCCGGCTCAGCCTTGTGAGCGAAGAGAGCGGCCCTAGAGGCAACGCGGAGGGGCTGGGCCATCGCCGCCATCTCACCTGCCGCCCCGGGGTCTTCTGTAGCAGGAGGCCTCCCCTTCCGAGCCAGGCGTCCTCGGAGGTCCCGGGAGGCTTCCGTGCCTCCGCCCGCCCGCTCACCCACCCGTGGGTTCCCACCTGCGGCGCCTCCTGGCCGGGCCTCTCTTCCGGGCCGCTTCCCTGTGCGGGGCCGGGGCTGCTGGCCACCCGGAGGAGCAGAAAAGCGGCCTCCCACGGGCGACTCCTCAGACTTGGAGCGGCGGGAAGAGAAAACGCCGGAGGCGAAGCGGGCGCGGCTCCGGCGCAGCAGAAGGCTCCCTCTCTACTCGGGGCTCGTGGAGCGCCTTCAGCGACCCCGGCCGTCGTGGGGGCCACGATCCCCCTCCTGGCCGAGGATGTCCGGGAGGCTCTCAGAGGGGCGGGGGGGATCCTAAACCTCGGGGTCCGACCCTCGCTCGCTGTTCGACCACCTCTGCGCAGCGCCCGCCTTTCCTGCTTCCCCTCTGAGACGCCTGGAATTTGGACAGAGCGGGGAACCGGCAACCCTCACACGGGATCGGGGCAGAAGCTCCAGGGACCGTTGGTTGCAGGCGGCTTTGCGGGGGGGGGGGGTGTGTGCGCGCGCGTGTGTGTCACGCTGGACAGTTCCGGCTCTTTCAGACACGGAGAACTCTGGCATCGGATCCCACTGGCTTCCTTGAAGGGAGAGCACAGATCCCCAGAGACCTCTGCCCCAGGCCAGCTCAGCTTTTCCCTCGAACAACGGGCTCCCCCGGGAAGCCCTTCGAGGCAAGAAGGCCGCTGCCGGGGCGTCTCTTTCCGCGCGCCCGTTTCTGTCGGCCTGGGAGCGGCGGGAGGCCCGGCCCGGGCAAGCAGGGGCCTCCCGAACCGAGAGGCTCTCCGGGGAGGCTCCGGCTCCCCTGCCTGGAGCGAAGAGGGTCCCGCCGCCCCGGGCTGAGGTGGGGGCTCTGGTAGCAGCCGGTTGGACTGGGCGGCTCAAGGATGAGCGGGGCGGGGGGGACTTCTTCCTCGCCCGCGCTGCCTGCGGCCGTTTCCCCACGTTATTTATAGGGAGAACCTGGGAAAAAGTCCGGCCTAAATTATTTATTTTTATTCTTATTAAGAATATTATTATTATTACTCTACCACAGTTGATCCTTTTGCCCTGCCCGTTCCCCGTTTATCAAGCCAAAATCGCCCCCCCCGCCCTGTGAGCCAGTAGCTCTCTAAATCTGCAGCCTGCCGGGAGGCCTTCAGCCCTGGGGAGACCCCTCGCCCCCCCCCGCAGGCTTTGCCCTCTCCGGCCCAGCCTCGGGCCTCCCGCGGGGAGAAACTTTGGCTGGATTCCACCAGCGCCTCTGCTCACTTGGGAGCGCCCGAGGCCTCGGCTTGGCAGGGCTCGCCTGCACCCCACTTAGTAATGGGAAAGTTCTCCCACGGCCCTGGACCCCCTTCCCCGGGGGTGGGTGGGCTCCTGCAGAGTAGCCAGAGGGGCAGCGGGGAGGGACTTTGTCCCTTTGGACCCCGAGGAGATTCCTTGACGCCCCACCGGCCCCCGGAGCTGGGCGGAACTTCGGCCACGCGCCGGCTCTGCCTTCAAGAGGGGTGGGGCGAAGGGGCCGGTCCTGGAGCTGCCCCGGGCCTCTCCGGTTCGTCGGCAGGCCCCGGGGGCTCCTACGTTGCCCGCCCCGCCCTCCCAGCAGGCCTCTTCCACTCCAGCTGGCCCTCCGCCGATGGAGTCTCGATTTCGGGCCTGGAGAAATCGGGCCAGCGCCGCTGCAGAGGACGGTGGGGAAAAGTTAAGAACAGCTTCGCCCGCTGTCCTCGCCGGGGGACGATTGGAGGCGCCGAAGCTGGGGCCCTTCAGGCTCTCCCTCTGCCCGGCCGGACGCCTCTGCCCTTAAGCCCTGCCAGACGGAGGTGGGCCCGGACAGCGGCGCCCTCGGCCGAGGAAGCCAGGCCGCTCCGCCAAGCGCCAGGGGGATCGGGCGGCCCCCTTGGATCTGGCGCGGCGCCCTCCTCCCGCGGCCTTTGGGCCGCTCCCCCCGCGAAGCCAGCCCCTCCTTTCCCGCGGCTCTTTCGTCGGCGTCTTCTCCGTTTCACCGGGATGTTCCCTCCCGGGTTGGGTCGCCGTCATTCGTGGGCTCGGAATTCTGCTTCGATTGAATGGGATCCAGTCTCCGCTTTGCGCCCCTTCTGGGCCCTTTGAAAACAGGGCTGTCCGATTGCGGGGGCGGGGGCGGGGAGAGGGGGGAGAGGAGGGGGAGGCATTGGAGACTTCTTGGTTTGCAGTTCGGACGCCCTCGGACCTCGCGCCCTCTGCCTTCGGACTGAAGCGCCTGGACTAGCGCCGACGGCGGAGGACGCTGCTGTGGAGACGCCCGGGCCAATTCGGGGGGCTGCAGGCAAGTCCGACCGGTGCCAGCGCCTGATGGGCGGGTCCGAGCAGCCAGGGGCAGAGCCGCACGAGTCGAGGCCCGGTTGGCCCCGAGACCGCTGCCAGGGTGCCTGGCTTGTTGCGGCCGCCCAGCCCCGAGCCTCCCTGCGGGGAAGCGCAGCCCCGACCGTCGAGGCCGGGCGGCGCTCCGAGGCTCCTGCCAGCCGGCCTCTGCTCCGCGGCCCTGAGCCCCGCTCTAGAGGAACGGGGGTCCGGCTGGCGGCGGGCGGGCCCGGCTTCGAGAGGCCGAGTCCCGCGCTTGGGTCAGGGAAGCGCCTGGCCCTGTGGGGCTCGGCCGGGCCGCC